ACAATCAGAAAACGGTGATCAGGCGAGTCTAGTAAAAATAATAGTTTAAAAACGTAAGAGCTTCAAATTGGCCTGTAAAATAAATAGTTTTATGTTTCATCATGCAAAGTTTCTCAAGTAATCTATGGAAATGAGCCTTTTGTTGGGCAGTTGCCAACGTGTCAAAATGCCAAATTAGTCTTAAGCTGTATACAATAAATTAAGCAAAAGGTTTTGGGCCACCTGAAATCCTGATGTGATAATGGCTGCACAGTTGTTACAGTTTCTGCAGAGCTGAACACAAACGTGTTAACAGCATTTCATGGCAATCTAGCAGCTGTTTGACCACACGTTTTTTTTTTCAAAGCCACACATGTTTGCCTGATGGTGCAAGCAGAAAAGTCTCAAACCAAAGTTCTCACAGTGCATCATCTGGAAAGCATCAACATCTGTATTAAAGTATTTGTCAATCTGTTCAAACGAGATTCTGGTCCCAGCAGCTTATCGCGGGCCGAAATGCTCCGCTGGTTTGACTAAAGCCTAAATGTCAACACGCCATCGCAAAGTAACCTTTGGAATGCGTCGCAGATTTATGTGAGTGTCAGAGGGTGGAGACTTCCTCTGGGCTGACGGTGATTAGACGTGGAGGAGACGGATGTATATCATCATTTCGCACGTCGTGGAGGCCGTGATTGCCCGTAGTCTTGTGAACGTTTGCGTCTTCGTCGACCTCTGGTTCACAAAGGGAACCTCGGTGCCCTCAGTCACAACAAACCCCACAGTGTGGGGTCATTTCGCCACCGGTGTTTGAAAATTGTTTGCACATTTCGTTTGATGAAGTTGGCAGAATGTGTTTTAGGCTGAACCATTGATTTGTTGTTTGTTGACACACTCCAGGATGAGATTAAACATGCTGAAATGCAGCGTTGAGAAACCGAGCCCACATTGGACTCCAGATGGTTGTGGATGCACAGATGTGGCACAAGCAGCCACCATGTCCTATTTCAGTGACACTGAAACCCCAAGAAATGGCTGATAATAGGACTCTGCTCGTCGCGGTCTGAGGTGACGCTTCAGACAGACCGGAGCTGTTTGGGTCTTTTTTTTTCTTGTTGCTTTAGTTATTTATGAGTGCCAGTTGTTCCTCGATCTGGGCATCCCTGCTATGACCACAGTGTGGGTGGGTTCCATTTGTGGGACTGACAGCTGACATTCCACACTTCATATGAGCCATATACCATCAGGATGGTTAGATTTAGAAGTGTAAGGGGTTCTTTTAAATAAAAAAATAAAAAAGGCTTCTCTGCTTTTTCAATCACAGCTAAAAGAGTCAAAATACTGTAAACGCAGAAGTGTTTATGGTTTAGCAGTGGGTAATGTGTTTCTGGGAAATGACCAAGAAGTCCAAAACATACAGAAGATGACATGAAAAGTTTGTAGAAGACAACTGTATTTTAAAGGAGTCTGCAATCCTGTCCTTTTGATGTATTATTAAAAGTTTTTTTTTTTTTGTTTAGTTTTAATTGTTTTGTCTACAAAAGTCCAAATCCAACAGTGTCGATCCATCTTCGACAATTATTGATGCATCACAATCTCTGACTTTAGACAAAACTTTAACGGTACTAAAAAAAGTGCAACTCCAGTTCTGAAAAAATAATATTCAGGATTTCCTTTTAGGTAAATTTTGTTGTTGCTTTAGGTATGTCCAGACTGAGGCTCATAAATACGGACAAAGTTTAAAATGTCACTATTTTTAGACAGTTCTTCTCAGACTGGTGAACCCCTGCCCATCTTTACTTCTAAGAGATTCAGCTGCTCTAAAACGCCTCTTATTTTGCCACTTTTCTTTCGTATTTGTTGTTATTTAACCTAATTACCATAATTTCAAGACTATTGAGTGCACCTGAATATAAGCCACGCCCACATCAACAAAAAAAGTACATATATAGGCCACAATTGTCTACAAGCCACAGGTGTCCATGTTGTAACATGAGATATTTACATGAAAAGATTTTTAACTTTTAAGTAAATACGTGCCATGCCCCCAGGGAGGGGGTGTACAACAAGGAGGAGAGAACAAGGAGGGGGTGGGGGGACTAAATTTCTCTTGTTCCACTGTGACCTTTTTGGTAATTTCATTGGGCAGTTTTACTATATTTATAAACTGAATTGAATTTAATCTATTCTACCTTTATTTATACAGGTAGTCCCATTGAGTCATGAGGACCCACCCCGCAAGAGAGACTTGTATTGGGCCGTTCTGTGAGCGCCTGGGTGTGAGGAGGCTAAATGTTTTGGCCTTAAGTTTCTGTTCAGTGCCATGAGATGACTTCTGTTGTGACTTGGCGCTATATAAATAAACTGAATTGAATTCATTAAGCTTGTTAGTCCGTAAAAAAATCCATAAATTAGCCGCAACATTGCATAAGCTGCAAGGTTCAAAGCGTGTGGAAGAAGTAGCTGTTTATAGTCTGGAAATTACGGTAACAGCAAAATGCTGCTGCAGCTGTTTCTTAATCATATCACTAACTTTAACAGCCTTTTGTTGCCCCAGTCTCAACTTTTTTTTGAGATGTGTTGCTACTAAATGTTTCAAAATTACCTTATGTATAATTTAAAAAAGTGGTGCAAGTATTTAGTTTCTACATTTGATGTGTTTTCTATGTTCCATTGAGAATAAAATATGCTTCATGAGATTAGCAAATAATTACGTTCTGTTTTTATTTACAATTTACACAACATCCCAACTTGTTTGGAATTTTGTTGTGTTCATCGTTGTACACATCCAGTAATGCTCAATCGTTTCGCCCTCTATCCGGAGGGCTTCATCAGTCTGAGAAGTCCCAAGTAAACTGCTTTTCCCACTAAGCAGTACACTCCTTTAGTGGACCAACCAGTTTGCTGGTGATAAGATAGTTTCTGGGGGCTGTCCTGATGACCTGCTTGACCATTATTGGATTTTGTACCTGGATGATTGAGCATGAACTTTGGTGTCTTGAACCACTTTGGATGTGGCTGCCTGCCTGGGAGGAGTTGACGGGGGAAAGGACAGCCCCCAGAAACCATCTTACCACCAGCAAACTGGTTGGTCCACTGAAGGAGTGTACTGCTAAGTGGAAAAAAACAGTTTACTTGGGCCTCCTCAGACTGATGAAGCCCTCCGGATAGAGGGTGAAACGTCTTTCCACAAAAAAGAAACAGTCCAGATGACCTGATTGATCATTATTAGATTTTGTACCTGGATGATTGAGCATGAACTTTGATGTTGTACACATCGTTTATGTTGCTAAAAGGATACTTCAGATTTATATTTTCTGAAGTGGTATTTTATTAAATAGTTATAAACATTGAATGTCTTACCTGTAGTAGATAGCTCTTTGGACACCCTCAGTTTTAAGACAGTGTTTAACTCTGGACAGATTGACGAGCTGCTAGTCCAAACGCAGCCAAGACCACAATGGACCGCTGTCGCCTTAAAACAACTCCTGCCTCGACAGCTTTGCAGCAGTTCCTGCAAACTTTATTCCATAAGCCTTTACGCTGCAGTCAGGTTCACATGGTGTAGTTATTCTGGCAGAAAAATGATCAAATGTACTCAGAAAGTGGCTGCGCTGGAAGAACTACCAGCTAGCCTGCAGACAGCTGCAGGATTCTGGAACAGGATTCATTTAGAGCTCTTTTATTAGTCTGGTGCAAGTTTTGTGTCCTTTAAATGACAGTCAGGTCCAGTTTGGGACATGTCAAAGATCACACTGAGCAGGTAAAAGCTAAAAACTCAGACATTTGCTTTGGACAGGTGGTGAAGACCAGTAAGTCTGAAGAGTGTGTGTGTATCTAAACTTCAATGTCTGCTAATATTGCCTTGGCTCCTGTAGTTCAGGGGTCTGCAGTCTGTGGCTCTTTGAAGCTTTGATGAAAACTAATATGAAACAGAATTTTAATTTTTTTTTTTTTTTTTTATAAACTAACAACAAAAAAAGAGCTACTTTTAGCAAGTTTGTAATTGTTTATAAGCCAAAAATATTTGAACAGTAGTACAGGAATAAACACGTTAAAGGTATTTTTTATTTGAAAATCCAATTACTTATCCACAAACTGGTCTACATTTTTTTGTACTTCACGTTTTATTACTTCAATGTGAGATACCAAATAATCGTTTCCACAAATAAAAAGAAGACTCATACAGGCCTGCATAGTTCAGAGTTTAAGTTTTTTATCAAATATGGTAAAGTTTTACATGAACATAGTCTTTTCTTTTGTCTTAAGATGTAAAAAAGAATCATTAAATGTTAACAATCATTGGATAGTTTTAGTTTTATAATGTCACCCCTGCTAGCCTTCCACAGGTCGCAGTCGTAGCGGCTCAACTCTGGAAATGTCTCTATTGATTTGTGCTCTAGTTCATGAAGCTTGTCATCATCGGAAAAGTTTATCATGTGTCTAAATTTATAAATTTATGGTTCACTTGATCCCAAAGCAGCTAAAAGAGTGGTTTTCTCGCTCCAGCGCGCTCGTCAGATCGCCTTGATGATTAATCAACTTTACAAACCTTAAAATCTGTTTGTTTGTTTAAAGTTGATGCAATTTCCTGAAACATTTAAGAATCTTGAAGGTCTAAAAAATATATAAGCAAACCGTTGTAAAGGCTGATCCGAGCGTTGGGGCACGAGCTGAAAAAAAATCTATTGGCTCAAAATGACTGAATAAAACATTAGACATGGACGAGGACTTCTTTGATTCGCTTGTCTTTATACGGGCTAAAATGTTTTATTTTAAGGATGATTGTTTTGTGAGTGAACGATATGACTCTTTATGACCTCAGGTTGGTCAGGTGTTCTTGTGGTTCTTGGCTTTGCTCTAGCTTCTCTTGTGCTGCCAGATAGAGATTTACTGCTCGTGGTGCCAGAATAAGGAAAGATAACCAGGAATGAAGAGGAAAAGGCTGAAACAGCTGGAGGACAAAGCACCAGGAATGTCTTCTGTTACACAACTTAAACTGGCTTGTTTCTTTGTTGTTACAGAATGTCTGAACTGCACCAGCTTCAGCGACATGAACGGAAGATTAAACGCCCTCGAATCGAAGGTAAGTTTTCACGACTCGATTGAAGAAGAACTTGCACCCGAATGCTCCTGACACCTGCTTGTCTTTGTCGCAGATCAAACTGTTGGAGAACGGGCGCTCATCTGTGCCAGGGGGTCACAAACGACCGGAGGGCTCGACAGAAAACGAGGTGGACACACCTCGACCCACTCGGACCCCGTACCCGCCTGCAGGTGTCGACGCGTCACGGAAAATACATTTATCGCAGATTGAATGGAAATGTTGACGAGCAGCAGTTGTTGTTTTTTCTGCTCTATTCGCCTTCAAACATTCAGATTCTGCTAAAACTCAGACAATATGTTAAAAACACTGATGTCTATGTTAAAAACATACACTTTTAACAAGGTTTAAGATTAATACAGTTAATGATGTCGTCTCATTATTTTCCCCCGTCACGGAGCAAAAATGGGACTTGGACATACGCCCTCCGTCTCTCCGTCTGTCCATATTGTGAGCTGGATAACTTGAAAAATAAGTGCTGACTTCCATTTTAGTGTGGCTGCATTTATTTATTCAACCTTTATTTATACAGGTTAGTCTCACTGAGTCTAGAGAACTCATTGTCAAGAGACCTGTTTTAGACAAACCACAGATAAAGTACAGACAACTATAATTCATCAAAAAGCAATTAAAATCAAATAAAATAAGTTAGTGTATAAACACAGTCAAATCAAGATGCCGTATAAAACAAGGTAAAATACTAAAAACGAACATATTTGCTTTGATATTTCTATTGACTTTATCAAATGTTTAAAATCTCTTAAAGAGATCAAATTGGACAGCTTCAGATCTTGTTGGAAGGTGTTCCAGGTCACAGGAGTGGAATAAGAAAAGGCCTTTTTGCTGAGTTCAGTCCACAATGAGGGGACACTGCACGTAATGAATCCCTAAGAGCGCACGCCGTAACTGCACTGACGAAGGGACATGTGGGAGGAAATATAAGAAGGCAGCCGACCAAGGAGTGATTTATAGATGAAAAAGAGTCAGTGAGAGTCTGTGTGAAGTTAATGATGACCAAATGACCTAAGAGTACAGGGTGCAGTGATGGGTACAGTAGTTACAACCAGTTATGAACCTTAGTGCTCCATGATAGACAGCATCCAACATGCATCAGCAACAGCATCCAACTGCAAGGAGCTGGCAGGGGCATTATGGTGACATAAATAATGTCACTATAATATGGCTGTAGGAAAGTAGCAGCTACAAGGCGTTTCCTGGCATTCAGAGTTAAACAAGATGTACATGTATTTCTGAAAATGAAACCCAGTTTCAATTTCAGTTTCTTTATCAAGCTTTCAACATGTGGTTTAAAAGAGAGATGTGCATCAATTAAAGTTCCTAAGTATTTGTAAGAATCCACAAACTCAATAGGAACACCAAACATGGATGAGATGGGGAAGAGCTGCTGGCACCAGCTTTCTGTTTGAAAACAGCATCCCTTTGGTTTGATCAGCATTTAGTACCAGTTTGAGACGGAACAAGTCTGACTGGATGATGTCAAATGCAGACTGTAGCAGCTGGAAAACCTTGGCAACTGTGGATGGAACAGTTTTATCCACAACCAGGAGAAATGGCTACTGTAGATTATTCTTTGGCCACACCAGTCAGTTTAGGAAACTCCTAGACAGCATAGTTCCCTCGGCGACGGCCATCTTAGATTTTGACGTGGGAAAGGAACCTTTCTTATGGCTAAATTGTTGGTTATGGTACTGCGTCTAGCTATTTAACGGTCACTAATGGTGTGCCACAAGGCTCAGTTTTAGGACCCACTCTTTTGACAATTTATATAAATAATGTAGGTCAAAACATTCCTGATGCCTCCTTGCATCTCTATGCTGATGACATTGTTGTTTACTGCTAACACTCACCAGGATCCAACGTTCAGTGCTGACCCGGACAAGAACAGAAAAAACTACCTCTGTTCTTTTACACAGTGTAACTCCTTCCTACTTGAATACCTTACACCAAAAACATTAAGGTTTACCTGCATTCCCAATTTAACTCTAGTCCAGAAAAACACTTATCTTGAACAGTACAAACATTCACTATTCAAACCCCTCAGCAGCAGGGGACATCGGCACACTGCTTGTAATTTGCCCATTTGAGTTCTCGTTTCGTAATTCTATACAGTAGAGAGGGACGAATTGTTCCACAAAATAACATCAATAAATCAAGATTAAAGTTTGATTCCGGTTGTTTTATTTAGTAGTACCAGGACCCAAGGGGCCCCCAGGACCAATCGGACCTCCCGGGCTTCAAGGTCCTCCTGGAAGAACCGGACTTCCAGGACCTGCTGGTAAAAAAAAAAAAAGAGATTTCCCAAGTTTAGTTTTATCTTTTAAAGATTATCATATTGGGTAGTTTTTTTTATTTATTTATTATACACATCTTGACTGAGTTTGTTTTTCTTTGTTACGTTCAGGACTAAAGGGGGACAGAGGTCTACCAGGAGAGGTCGGTCTTCCCGGTCCTCCTGGTCCACCAGGTCCCGCAGTGCTGGATTCGTCTCCTGTTCGAGTCCGAGGTGACGTTTTTCATCTGGGCCATCAAGGTGAGCTGTGTGGTCTGACAGGTCTGAGCCTGAAGAGGTTTAAAGAAACCCCAAATAAAACTTGCTGTAAAACCATTCAGGGTCCAAAGCCAAAACCACATGTCCATGTCACAGCCCATTCTGAGAACGCACACGTCCTTCACATATCTCATGCCTGGTGCTTTTTACTACAACTTTACTTGTCCTGCTCTGACTCAGACCGACGGAGACTGAGACTTCCTACAGCTTTTAACGAAGTACGTAAACACGTAATAAAGAGATTTTTTTTCCCCTGAACACGGCTGGCAGAGATTTTCTGTAATCATTCCCGTGTGTTTTTGTTGCTACTGAGGCATTGTGTACAGCAAATTGGAAAAAAAATACCTACAGCAACAAAGCCAAACACACACACCTATGAATCAGTGCTGCAGAGCATTTTAAATATATTGTTACCAAATGGATGTGCACAATATCAGTATCGCAAAAACTGCTTAGAGGCAGTAAATCCAATGGATTCTTGCTGCTTTTGATGCTCAGACCTGGTTTTGTCGAGAGAAAGCAAGAATGTACAGCGTGCCCATTTGCTGTGTGTGATTCAATCTGTCTGTTAGCAGAATATCTCATGAACTGCTGGAAAATTTAATGAAATTCTCAGGAATTAGTCACTGGATGTACGTCTACAACTGATTACTCTTTGGAGTCAGTCCAGTTTAAAATGGTTGCACAGCTAATCAAAATTAACCAACACAAAAATGACTCGGTCATTTCTTTTTCTTTTTTTTTTTACAGATATTGAGCTAAAGCTCTGTGTGGTAGTAGCTAAGGGTCATCCAGAACATTTTCTCAAAGCACTATAGCTCACACAAGATGTTTGTTTACAACTTTTGGCGTGTATGTCAGCAAGCGATCTGCATTTCACCAAGGAACGCTTGTTTTATTACATCTTATATTGATCTTGCACTATTTAACAGTTAAAGATCTGTCAGTGTTCGGAGCTTGTGTTGAGGATGACTTTCAGCTACTACTATATCAAATTTTAGCTCAATATCTGTAAATCTGACAGAGGTACGTCCATTTTTGTGTTTGGTAAGATGGATTAGCTGTGCCCGCCATATTGTATTGGGTTGAATGAATTCAGAAGTTAATCAGTTGTAGATGTTTGCACAATGATCATTTTTTGAGAAATTCATTAAAATCAGCCTACTGGTTCACAGGACATTTTGCTAACAGACAATAATATTATGGCAAATGCTAATGTAAATCCTAAGATTAGCTGCAGGTGCTTCAGAAAGACTTGATACAAGTGTGCAGTTTTCATCACTGCACTGAGTTTAACCCTTCTGCTAGCCTTGGGTCAAAATAACCCCTGAGGCCTCTGCCTGTTTACAGTGGTCATTTTGACCCAAGGACAGCAGGAGGGTTAAAGTTCAGGAGGTTTATGAAGCAACTAAGTTCAGTACATGAATGTTGCCACAGGGAGGCAGTCGGAGTCTGTCATATAGCTGCTCCCTGTGGCTCCTGCTGGCTCTGATTAGACTTTTGGCTGCGTCTCTCTCTCTCTCTCTGAGCCCGGGACTCTGTCTGCGGCTCTGGAGCTATGTACGTCTGGGTCTGTGGGACCATGTGAGCTGACGGGGGGAGACTGGCTGTAAATCAAGCCTAATTTGTTAGCTGTCAGCAGAACAATCTGCGTTGGGTTGGGATGGGGGGGGGGGGGGGGGGGGAGACCGACCACGGCCTCGAGCCAAAAGCAAGAGCTGGCTTTGAACGAAGAAGACAGTCTGCCACTCATGTGGAGTTTCTCGAGACTAGCATTAGAAAATTAGTTCCAGAGGGAGATCTGCTCCTTCAAGAACGCCCTTTCCCCCCTGCCTCCACATGGGAGCAGACGGATGGCGAGCATGTATTAAAGTGGTGAGGAAGTGTGAGGTGGTTTCAAAGTAAATTTATAAATGTGCTCAGACAGACCCTACATGCTGAGAACAAGGCAGGACTCTCACAGGGTCTGTTCCAACGTTTCATGTCCGAGCACTCCTTGTCATCACACTGTATCATATGGTATTGTATTGTATTGTATGATATTGTATTGTATGGTATCATACTGTATGGGCAGCATGGCGGCTTAGTGGTTAGCACTGTTGCCTCACAGCAAAAAGGTACTGGGTTCAATTCCTGGGGTGTTTCTGTGTGTAATTTGCATGTTCTCCTTTGTTTGCGTGGGTTCCCTTCAGGTACTCCAGTTTCCTCCTACATGATAAATGTACATGTTAGGTCAGCCTAACTCAGACCTCCCTTGTAAAAAGTCTCAGTGAGATTTGCCTGGTTAAGTAAAGGCAAATAGTAATAAATAATAGTGTATCAAATTGTATCGTATCATACGACATCACATCGTATCGTATTAGATCATATTGTATCATACCACACTGCATTACACTGTCCTCTATCGTATCAAACTGTATCTTATCATACTACATTGTATCACATCACTGTATGTATTATTGCATCATTTCATGTCATACTGTATTTCATCCTCTTGTATCATATCGTATCTTATTATATCATATTGTTTCCAATCATGCTGTATCATACTGCACCAAATTGCATCATAAGGCATCTTTTTGTATATCGGTAATATCATTTTTGCACCATAGAAAAAATGTCAGGGAAAGGGTATGAGAAAAACGATATTATGAATCGATGTGAAAAACTTGCGATTAATTTTTCTCTTCCTTTTCTTCCAAGTTGTGACTTTTTATTTATTTATAATGAGCTCATAAAATGGAATAAATCCTACTTTAATCTAGAATTAACTGCACAACTACTCCGTGTTGGTGCTTTGATCAAATAAACTGGAGTATGGCTTGATTAATGAAAGCATTTTTTTGGGAAAAGAAGGCATAATTTAATGTAATTTACATCAGGAAATTATGTATGATTTCATATTAGTTTAACTGTTTGACTCTATAGAAACATTATTGAAAGTTTCCACTTCGTTGACAGTGAAAATATTTGAGTAGCTGTATATCATCATTAGCTCTACAGCAATGAAACAATGCTTAAATGCTTACAGGTTAAAAAAAAAACACTAATGTTGATGTTGTGCTTTTCCCAGAGGAGGACCTGATCCGTCAAGTTCTTCCTGCTCCTCAGATCAGAGCTGGTCCTCCTGGTCCAGCTGGTCCTGTTGGTCCTTCAGGTATGAATATCTGACATTTCCTGCTTAAAGGTACAAAGAAAACACCACAGTAGGTTCTACGTCTAACATCTTTCATAAAACACACTCTATATTCACATATCACGTCCTGAGAGGTGTACAGTAATCCCTCACTTATCGCAGGGGTTACGTTCCAGACACCCCCGTGCTAGGTGAAAATCTACCAAGTAGGGATATTATATTTATTTTAGTATTTATATATATTTTAAGGCTTTATAAACCCTTCCCACACTCTTGTAATGTTTTTAAAAATGTTTTGAAGTCTCTAAAAGCTCTAAAACAGCACAGTAAAAGAGAACAGACAGACTGATGATATGGTTACTGAGCCAAACGCTGGGGCAGACTGGCCATTGGGAGCACCGGGACATTTCCCGGTGGCCTGGCCCGCTCAGTGATCGCCTAGGAGCTGGACCAAAGGCTCAGTTCGGGTCAAGCTTGATTATTTTCAGAATCAGAATAAGCTTTCTTATCATTGCACCGAGATACAATGAGAATATGTCCATACAGTCGTTCGAAAGATGGACGGAGTGCACGAAGTTGCTGCTATATAGCGTAGCCTTCTTTTTTCTTTTCAGAATACATTTTTTAGATAGAAAAAGGGATAAAGCCACGAGGAGAGGGCTAGTGGCATTACAAAAAAGATCTCTTCACACCTTGTCTTAACAGGACACAATTTTTTATTTCTTTTCTCCTGCTATTCTACGGTGGAACCAGACGTGTTTCCCCCCCACCAAGGATCAATTCGGCTGTTTTGGAGTTCCATCAGAAGAATATATACCAGCGAGACTATAAAGGCAGAAACAACAATTCACGAGTTCTGCCTGACCCAAACTGTGGCCTTGATGCCGGACTTATCTCAACTCCTCCTGGAATGTTTTGAAAACAACAAAGATGCTTTGACTGTTTCCTCACCCCTCCCTTCCCCAAGGCCGTGGACATGTGACAGAACCTCAACTGAGCTGAAGATGAACGTCACCTCTTAAATGGACAATGGCTGGGGGGGGGGGAGGGGGGGTGCTCTGGACTATGCTACGACTTTCCCTTAAAAATTCAATGTTTTCACCGCCTATATGTAAATGTATAACGTCTTTTTATGTTGCTTTGCTGTGGTAGGTTTTTTTGATGCCTCAAATTGTGCCCTGTCTAGGACACGGTGTGAGAGATCTTTTTTTTTATACCATCTCTTCTCATGTTTTCTTTCCTTTTCTCATCTAAGCAAAATATTATTCTGAATAAGAATAAGAAGGCCACGCTAATTATTTATAGCCACAGCTTCATGCACTCCGCCCATCTTCGGACGACTGTACGTACATATTCGCCTTGTATCTCGTTGCAATGCCAATAAAGTTTATTCTGATTCTAATTCTGATTAAGACATAAAAAAAAAAAAAACTGCCAGCAGCACATTTATGAACACGTTACATATGCATTTACGAAGAGGCGGTCCATGAAGCACTAACAGATAGTCCATTGTCCTGATAAGATGATGGGCAGCCGGCACAGTTCTGATAATAAAGCCTTCATGGGGGGGTTGCGATAGACGGAAGCTTTTCCTTAGTTTACACATTTCCCGGGAGAAATTGATAAGTCAGCCTGTTTCGAGGCCAGCCGGGGAGTCAGATTCAGATAAACCACAATTGTTGATTTAATCAGGCAGACTATTTTTATTGTCAAGATTGTGAGTCTTTAATGGTAGTTCCAAGGTCCGAAATGGCCAGATTAGGGTGCATTCTACTGGTCCGTGCTTACGAACCTCTCAAGGTTTTTCCATGCTGACAAGTCCCAAAGCTGCAGGTGGCCTGCGATTCAAATCACTCCAACTTACGGTTTTGCTCGTAAATCAGCTGATTTTGAGTCCTCAAAGCACAAACCAACCTTCACATAGACAGCAGCCTGACGAGGTCCAAATTAGCTGCGACCGTCTTCTTTGTATGTTGATAAACCAGGATCCAGACTATTCAAACAACAGGAAACCTGTTATCATAAATCCAATTATATGTAATTTCGGCGTCCTAGTTCGATAGCAAAGGTAGACACATCACCCCCAGAGATATGTCCAGCTGCATGCATCTCGTCCGAGCAGATGAAAGTTCTTCAGGACCCTGTCGCTTTGTCGAAAAGATTTTGTAATTTACGTCAAAAGTCCAATTGGTCAGATCCAAAGTACTAGTTTTCATTTTGGAAGATGTGTAAAAATAGGAGCTGCTCTGATACACAGACAGAGAGCAAAAAGCAGGAGAACAAGAAGCGGGGAGAAATGTGTGCCTCGTTAGAGAGCCAGTTAGAAAAATATAAAATAAACAATCCATGCCTCCACCTCACTGAAGCTCCCTAAGCAGTAGCGATGGGGAAAGACAGACCCTGCCCCTCCTTTCTTTTTCTGAGGCTGTCTGTCACAGCAGAGCAGAGAGACGCAACAGGTTGCGTGCCCGCCTGTTGTGCTCTACTGTGACACACAGCCTGAGAAAGAGAAAGGAAGGGGCCCCTCTGCGATCAGTGAGCGGGCCAGGCCACCGGAAAATGTCCCAGTACTCCAGATGGCCAGTCCGCCCCTCAGGTCGCCTTCCATCAATCAGCCAATAGTGTGTTGTGTACAATCTTATGTTGAAAACCTGTGAAAGAGTGAGTCTGTGAAAGTCAAACCGCAAAGTAATGAGGGACTACTGTATTAAACTTTATTTGAAATACTGCAGAACAAAAACATCAGCCTCCAACTCACAAATATGTCTTTATTTGTCTACATCTCAAATTTGTTTAGACCAGGGTTCCTTGAAGGACTGCATATTAACCACTGCCTTGCATGCTAAAGTTTTAAGATGTTATCGCTCACAGCGTTTAGGGTGAATCTAAGCTACAACCACACCCAACTTTATCTGTAAAATGGACAAAGTTATCTCCAATTTTTGCAGTTTTTTCCTCTTCACGGTCTCAAAATACTTGTTTTGTTTTTTTAATCAAAGGACTGATCTGCATTTTGGTCCAGTCTAAACATTTGTTATTTTGTGTTTTTGGTTTCTGAAGGCCCTCCAGGAGTAAGAGGACCTGTGGGAACACCGGGTCTGCCAGGACAGGATGTGAGTCTCACTCACTGATAATGATGTCATCTGTAAAAGACCAGTGCCACTAAAACTCACGCTTCTGTTTGTCTGACACTAGGGAACTGAAGGCCTCCCAGGAGGGTTGGGCAGTCCAGGTCCCAAAGGAGATCCAGGGGAAAGGGTAAAAATCATCCTCGTTATCGGATTATCAGGCCGGCTGAACAGATTTGACTCTCATTAGGTATCAAAATGCTTTCAGTTTAATCAAACCAGCCCTAGCTGTCATGCAGTCTTAAACACATTAAAGGAGAACAAGCTTTTCATCAAAGGCTCGATTCCAATTCGTGACTAATCCTTCTTTGTCTCATCCAGGACCAGGCCTCACTAATCAGGACAGTCTGGTCCCTTCTGTCCAGTTTTTGCGCCTGATCCTTTTCTGAGAGCATAATTTAAGATTGGCGAGCGGGTCAAGATTCAGATTAGAACGAGAAAAAATTAATGCAAGCTTTTAAAATGTATGTGTGTGAATTTAAAATGATTTCTCTTCCAGGGGCCCCCAGGTGCAGCGGGTGAGCAGGGTTTACCTGTAAGTATTATAGGATGAACGTGTTGCAGAACCCCCCACCCCCAAACACATTTAACAAGACTTTTTCCACCTGCAGGGAGCACCAGGACTGAAAGGAGAGCCAGGAGTGGGCCTGAGCGAGGTAAGGGACGTTACAAGCGTGCATGTTTTACCCTCCTGAGTTCGTTTTTTAAAGATTTGCTACGACTAAAGTGGGCGGTGTTGTTCAGGGCGAGGCCGTGCAGCAGCTCAGGGAGGCCCTGAAGATCCTGGCTGAGAGGGTCCTGATCCTGGAACACATGATCGGGATTCACGGTGAGGAGCGGAAAAACAAAACAAGAGGTGGAAGAAAGTATTCTTCCGAGCAGAAAAACATGGAGTGGATTTAGAGACTGGGATTGGATTCATGACACTTATTGGACCTTTAAATTTAAATCTAGAGACAGAAATGAAAATCAGCTGAGCCCAGTGAAGACTTTGATCATTTATCTTTCCTCAGAACTAAGAAATGTGCACTTATTGTTGGTTCTGAGGCTCTGTCTGGCTCCCATCTACAACATGAAAGTCATTTGTATCGAAGCCAAGAGAGGACAGGCTTAGAAATTTATGTCGATTTAGTTATTTGATCTAGAAAAGTTTGTTTTTTCGTCAGAACTTGCAAAAGTATTTGGCCTTGCCTGACCATTAAACCATATGGGACTGCATAGAGTTACAGCTTCCACTCTTTTGGGGAGGCTTTCCCTCCAGACTTTAAAGTGTTTCTGTGTGAATTTGTGCCCCGTTCATTCTGTAGAGCGTTTATGAGATCAGGCACTGGACGGGAAGTTTTGACAAACTCCGTTCCAGTTCATCCCAAAACTCATGAAACCAAGCTGTTATAGTCCCTGCTGTCGAGTTGCTACTGAAAAGACTTTTCTTCAAAGGGTTGCCACAAAGGCTGAAGCAGAAAATTGTCCAAAATGTGTTGGTATGCTGAAGTAGTGGCATCGCTCGTGACTGGTAACGGGTGCTTTTCTACACGTTGCTGACATTAAGCACCTCCAAGTAGCAGGACGGTGATCTGAATGATGCAACTGGGTTCAACACAAGAATCTTTGCACCGCATTCGTCTCATTAGAGCCAGAAAACAAAACTTTTCTTTTTTCTTTTTGGATCACAATTGTGTCAAGATTCAGGAGGAGCAGTGTGGCTTCGGTCCTGGTCGTGAAACAGTGGACCAGATCTTCACTCTTGCTGAGTTTCTAAGGGGCCGTAGGAGTTGGCCTCTCCAGACTACATGTTTTGTGGACCTGGAGAAGGCTTGTGACCGTGTTCCCTGAGGGGTGCTTTATGCGAATGATGGGGTTCTGTTGGTGTCTTCGAGACATGACCTTCAGCGTGCACTGGGGTGGTTCGCAGACATGTGTGAAGTGGCTGGAATGAGAGTCAGCTCCTCTAAATCTGAGGCCATGATTCCCCACCAGACATGGGTGGAATACCCCCTCCAGGTCAGGGGACAATCTTTGCCTCAGATGGAGGAGTTCAAGTATCTGGGCATCTTGCCTATCATGATGGAAGGATGGAGTGACAGATTGGTGCCTCTTTCTCTGTAATGAGGGCGTTGCTTCAGTCGGTCGTGGTGAAGAAAGCACTGAGTCGAAAAGTCAAGCTCTCGATGTACTGGTCTGTCTGCATTCCAACCTTCACCTGCGGTCATGAAGTTTGGATCATGACCAAAAGAACAGGATCCTGGATACAAGCAGCTGAATTGAGCTTCCTATGCAGCGTGTTCAGCCTGAGAGATAAGGTGGAGAGCTCTGTCATTCGGTGGGAGCTTGGAGTATAGCCGCTGCTCCTCTCCAGTGAAAGGAGTCAGTTGAGGTGGTTTGGACATCTGATTAGGACGCCTCCCTTTAGAGGTTTTCCAGGCACGTCCCACTGGCAGGAGGCCCCGAGGAAGACCCAGAAAACACTGGAGGGATGTCAAAGTTCATGCTCAATCATCCAGGTACAAAATCCAATAATGGTCAATCAGGTCATCTGGACAGTTTCTTTGGGGAGGGATGGTGTATTTCCTCTGGACTGGGAATGTCTCGGGGTCCCCCAGGATGAGCTGGAGAGGGAGTCAGGGTTTCTCTTCTAGACCTGTTGCCTCCACGAACCAACTACATCTTTTAATAATGTTTTTTTTTTAAGATATAATAATAACGATCTGCTTGTCACCGGGCTTTGCAATAATTCAAAGCTAAAGTTAAATGTAGAAAAAAACGTGTCACTATTTATCTTAGAAAAAAAAAAAAAAAGAGAAAAGCCGTAACGTATTTGAGCCGTTCATTGGATTTGCCGTCTCCTCACAGTCTCTAATAATTCCTGCAAATCAGAGGCAGACTGCCTGTGTGCTGACTGTTTTGTTGTTGTTGTTGTTTACACAGAGACCTCTGAAGGATCTGGGTTTGATGGCCTCTCTGACCCGGCGTTGTTCTCCAGCCTGAAGACGAAGCGTCGCCAGCCCCTCCCTCAGACTCCGGTGCTAAACAAGAGGCATAGACGGGTCCCTCTTTAATGCCGGGATCAGATTTTTCCATCTGTGTGTATTATTTAGAAGAAGTATCGGTAAAAGCTCACATAACTGGATGTTTAATTGTTTATTTGTCAGACTTTTTACCCGTCTCCTCTGACACAAACCAGCGGGTGGTGCGAGATGTTGAACATTTCCTCCACGTGAAACGATTTCCTTGTGTTTGCCATCGTGTCGCTGCAGAATTTTAGGGCCCACATGTACAAAAACACCTCACGAATCTCATAAAGTACGATGAAGGTTTTGGCAACGTTCTTCCGTCAGGTAAAAGATCGTATCAGTTTTCTTCTTGGCAGATGTTGGACATGAGATTTTCTGTTTAACCCCCAGGCTCCACTCGTGTTACTGTGGGTTTGATTTTTCTCGTGCTGCCATCTCTCGGTGATGTTCAGACGGAGGCTTTCAAGAGTACCTGCCTAAAATAAAGTGCACATCTGGAAACCTGAAGGAAGACAACGCCGAGGTCGGTTTGAAAGCTGACGGGATGAAATCGACGTGTTCTAAAACTCCTCCGAGGTTTTCTATCTGGACTGTTCAATAAGTCTCTGGGAGACGCAGCTGTTTGTTTCTGAATAAAAACTCTCACCATGTTTGTGACGATCTTTGTTTTCTCACAACAGCGCTGAATCATCCAGACCAAAGTTCTCAAGTGTAACCTCCTCTTTGTTAACGATAAGTGTGTGAACGGTTATAAATCATTCTCACGCTGACGATCCATTTTTCTTCTGCACGGTTTTCCACACGCAACTCGTTCTGCAGATTTTGTGCTATTTCAACACTTCATACACGAAAAACATTCAGGACATTCCTGCTAGGACTTTTTGGTATTTGTGTAATTATTACTTTTTTTTAAATATTTAGCTTTGTGGGCCATGTTTTCCCTCATTGAAAATGAATATAGCTCTTCACATACTTCAAACTCTTTGTGCTGTTTACAACTTTTGCACATTTCAGCTTTATTCTGCCAACTTGAGTTTATAATCTCCTTTTATCTTTCTGTGAATTCAACTTATCTGCATTTTCAGCTACGTTTAAGGCATTTTCTGCTATTTTTGCCTCTTTTTTTTGTTGCTAATTTCAGCCTTTTGTCATTCTTGGGAATAATTGCAATTTTTACACTCAATCAACCTCGTTCTGCAAATTTCAGATATTTTTAAGCCATTTCAGCTACATTATTTGTTAATTTTAAAATGTCTCTGCTTATTTCAATTTATTTATTTATTTGCTAATTACAGATGTTTTGTAATCAGATAGCCTCTCGTTGAATATATCAGCAGTTTTTCTGCAGCTTTCCACTTTTCTTTTCCTGCTTTCAGCAAATGTCAGCTGTTTAAATTCAACTCACATTAACAGTTTATTGATGAAACCTTTTCAGCTGGTTTCAGCTACTTCAACAGCTTTCAGCTAAAATCATTCAGCTGGAAGCATTCACACTGCCTTTTTACAGGAATTTCTCGAGTTCTGAGTTGAGTTGTAGGGATTTTAAACAATACTAAAAGAAATATGCTATAATAAAATTATTAGCACATAAAGTGGAAAGAAATTGCTTTGGGTGTTTGATGCCTGGACAAATGAAGAATAAAGCAAAAAATGTTGAAATCTTGTTCTAAAAAATGATTTAAACAACAGTTTCACTGCAGGAACTGAACTTTACAACAAATGAAAATGCAGAATGATTATTGCTGAATAACTTGCTGAAAACAGCTGAAATTAGCTTAAAAAACATGCTGAATTGTAGCTGAAGTAAAAGAACAAGCCTTAATTAGCAGAAGAAAACAGAAAGAACATGTTTGCTGAATTAGGTTTAAATTAGCAGAAACAAGCACAAAAAATTGGAAATTAGCTAAAAAAAGGCTGAAATTAGCAACAAAAAATTGCTGAAAAGAAGGTGAAAGGACAGATAGAAGCTTAAACTACTAGAAGAAAGAGGAAAGAGCTTGAATGAGCTTAAAAGAAGGTGGAATTTGCTGAAAAGGCTAAAATTAGCATAAAACAGCTAAATAGTAGCTGAAATGGCAGAAAAACACTAAAACTAGCAGAGAAAATACTGAAAGGAGCATAACAAGCTGAAATAACATAAAGAAGTTAATTAGGTTGAAAATAGTAAAAATGTACCATGAAAAACTTGAATTGATCTGAAAACAGCTGACATTAGCTTAAAAAATATAGCTGAAAAGTTGGAACAAGCTGAAGTTAGCAGAAAAAAGCAGAAATAACATGTGTTTAACCAGTTATGCTGAAAGAAGCAGAAATGAGCACAAAAAGTGGAAATTGTCTGAAAAGCTGAAATTAGCGTAAAAGCAGGTAAATAGTAGCTGAAATAGCTGAAAAAGCCGAAACTTGCAGAATAACCTGAAAGGCGCATAACAAGCTGAAAATAGCAGAAAGAAGTTAGAAGAAGCACAAAAATTTTCTAGTTAGCAGAACAAATCTGAAAGGCGCACAAAACTGCTGAAATTAGCTGAAAAAAATATTAAATTTTGCACAAGCTGAAAGAACCTGAAGCAGAACAAAATGTGAAAGGAGCGGTAAAAGGTTGTAAACGGATCTAGAGATATGAAGGATGCAAAATGAGCTCAACTTATTTTCTGAGAGCAAAAGTGTCTGAAAAGGCTAAATATTTCAAAAAGCTAAAGTTGCACCAATACCAAAGGCACAGCAGGATAGTCCTGAAAGAGCTGAACGTTTTGATTTATGATTTGTTGAAATGGCACAAAAATTGTGGAATGAGAAAGATGCTGAAAAAACATACGGAAGAAAAATGGATCACAATAGTGTGAATGCTTCATAAGCACTCGCAGCATGTGTGGTAGTAGCTGAGAGTCATCCTCAACAAGTACTCTGAGCTCTGACACATCTCACATTTTGACACGAGGTCCATGAAGGAATGCTCGCTCGGCCGGTCTCATTTTGGATCGACGCCTTGAGGAGTCGGGTCTGCAGAGACAGATCCCACAGAACCTCATGAGAACTGATCCGTGTGGTTCTGGTCCCTCCTCTGCCCTCTTCATGGATCCTTTCATCTCCCCCATGTCTGCCTGCTCCTGTCTCTCTTGTCATGTCCCCTCCTCCTCCTGTCTGTCTCTCTCTTGTTTTTCCTGTCTACTGAACAGAGACGTGTTGATACGAGGCCCCGCTCCCTCACACATGGGGGGGGACGAGTCTCTGGTGCTTTTGATCAGCTGCAGGATCAGACATGTCCCTGGTTCCCCACCCCCCACCCCCACCCTGCGTGCACTCCAGTGACTGATCATGAAGACGCAGACAACCCAAGACACACACCCACTCGTGTTCTTCCTGTTAATCATACGAGCATGGGCGCGCACACACACACAGCGCCAAGGGCACGCGTGTTGTGCCCCCCAACACAACTTGGGGGTGGGGGGGTTGTTGCCGGACACAAGGGAGCGAAAGCGAGATGGTGTGTGTGATTTTTTTTTCCCCTTTCTTGCCCTTTTTTTAAGCTTCTGACAGTAAGATGGATGATTGCAATCACAGGAGCCATCAGTGAGCCGGAGCGGAGGTCTACGGGCCGGGAGACACAGCCATGGGAAACCAGCCGTCAGATTAATGCTGCCATGGGAACAATGTGCTGTTTATTTGTCTGCTGGGGGGGCGGGGGGTGTTGTTTCATATGCATTTTCTCCTCTGTTTTTCTCCAGCCCACTCTCTCTGCAGCCTTTTGAACATAAAGGCCTGCTCATAAAAACGTGGCAGGCTTTGTGACGGGGGACAGAAACAGATTCCGTAGTTTCAGCCCGCTGGAAGGCGACGCACCGGTACACGTATGTCCGATTTTACAGCAATTACACGGGCGCCTTTGATCCCTGAAGACAACGACAGGCAGACTTTTGTCCTCATAGTTAATGGACGAGTTTTAAGAGAAACATCTGTTGCTGTACAAATGAGATTAGTGCGTCTCTAGCTGTGGTGGGGGCCCCCACAGAGGGTATGAATGGCACTGCTGCTGATGATGATGAGGAGGCCTGAAAGATCATTGTAATGAGCTGAAACTGGTGTTTAAATGGGTTTAAAACGAACGAGACAGCCCTAAATTCTGGGTATTCGTTAGTCCTGACTGTGTTTAACTGTGAACGAAGCGTTTGCGTCTCGGAATCACTACCTCATATCGATGCATCCAGTATTTCACCTTGTTGCCAAGCAACCACTCACCTCATGCTCCGTAAACTTGTCAGCCTGTGACACCAGGTGATGTTTCATCCTGCAGCGGAGCCACGGAGAAGAAGAGTTACGGGGCGCCGCAGCGCTTTGGATCATACCTAATCAGTACTTTACTGACTTTGCTTTACATTATCTGCCTGGTTATTGGGGAGGTTTATGTTTTGGTGCAATTTATTAGTTTGATTTAAAGTTATCCACATGCATAAAACTCTTCCCTCCTCCCTCCCTGATTCTTGTGGGTCAAAGACCCACGGGAGGCGTCTGCTCGGGATCAGCTCATGATAAATCACAAATAAAGCTGCAGCTCAGAAGTCCACAGAGGCACAGCTGCCTGAAAACCTGACCCAGATTCAGGACGATTAAAGTGACAGGTCAGAGGTTTGGGAGTGGGGGTTCAGCATAAGTGCTTTAAACAAGTAATATCTTACCTGTTGTAGATGAAAGGGGTTTGACACCGTCTTAACTCAATTCTAAAAAGATTCAAAATGATTCAAGCAAAATGCTCTAATATGGAGCTTTATTTCCTTCTCAGTTTCACACTCCACAATAATTTAGAAAAAATATATAGTTTTTTAGTTCCCTTCCTGCAAGAGTATTATAACATATCTGTCAGAAAAATGGTGTAATATCAAATTAGGGACTGAGCTGGTGAATCTGAATCCTCACTCTGAATCAGGACTAATGAGTCCAAGGTCTAGTTCCTACATGTCCTCTACCAGACTGCTGCTAAGTTCGCAAGTCAGCAGACTCACCAGAAAAGCAGCTGAATCACTGAAAATACTGCAGACTCAAATGAGTCGAATCTCTGATTCGGGTTAAAAACTCACAATTCAACAGTGGACTCGAGTCGTAACATCTACGTTTATGTGTTTTACATAAATAATATACATTCAACCTAAGTTAGTGTTTTCCTTATATTTGATTTGCACACTTTTGGTGTTTGCTTCATCATTTAGCTTTTTGACTGTTTATTGGTGTGTGCAGAATTGTAAAAAATGAATAAAATGTCTGAAAAATACAGATATAAATCCTTAATATCCATACAGCTGTCCCCATAGGAGTTTTTATTTGTTTTATTTTGGGGTGGGAATGGTTGGGGGTGCAGCATAAACGATTCAAGTGAACTGAATCATTTTAGTGACTCGCTCAGATTAACCCGAGTCTATAAAGTGAACTACATTTATCACCTCTGTTAGGTGCAAAAGTTTATAAAACAAAACGGGTCAATTTTTTTCAGTTGGAGTTGTTTTAAGATGGCAGCAATCCATTTTGGCCCTACAGCTACAAATCAAGCCCAAATCATCAGCCTTCCACCACCGTGCTTCACAGTTAAAATGAGCTCTGAGTTTGTTGACTGAAGCTTTGTTCTCCAAACTCAGACCGTTTGAAGATCTATCTACAACAGATAAGATATTAACTGAAATGATATAAACTCAAGTTGTTTTCTTTTTTTCCTCTTGTGCACTTTACTCCACCATAAAACGCAATAAAAGCAGAACGGACCTTAAACCTTAGGGCTCGAATGAAACCTTAGAGTTTAAATATTAATTTTTGAACAGAGTTTTAGGCCTATAACTTTAAATAAAAGGGACTTAAAATGAATTAATTTTCTTCATTTATCACTGGATGCGTGTATCAAACATAAAGTTTAGTTAATATGAATAAAAGTGCAGGTTAAGTCCTGTTGAAAGCAGAGTTTAAAATGAAACAACTCTAAATGACGTTATAAGGTCATAAACCTGGACACACTGACTTCTGGACACAAAACTCACCAGCTGTGTTCAACATAACGTCCAGTGTCTGATTTCTACGAATAATAATGTAAAATGTGTTCATTCTTAACGTTTTTTGTACCGTCTGGTCACCAGAGGAGGCGGTGTAGATCAGTTTTTGTCTCTAAACCTGAGTTCTTGATTGTTTGATCATCTTTCAGTTTGAAAACTTGCAGAACCACAGACAGAAACGTGAGCATCAGAAAGACTTCACACACGGGAGACCACAGGGTTGTGCTTCCAGTAGACGAGTGGGTTTATGTTTGTGAACAAATGGTCGGGACTCATTAAGTACTTGTGAAGAAGCGTGTCTGACATGCTGCCTCGCCTGTTTCTGGTATCAGAACCTTCCTGCTGGGTGTTTTTTTCCAGAAGAACTGGAGGAACCAGGTGTTTCCTCTGATGATGTAACCTGCAGAATACAGGTTGGACCAGGACGGTGAGGAGGTTGTGTTTAAATAAGAACGAGACATCAGGAGGATGAAGCCAGCACAGCTAAAGGCTTGAAACGAAACTGTTTACAGTAAAGGGACAAAGAGTCCGGCTGTTCTGATCCCAACTGCTGCCAGAGCTCAGAGACTTCAGCTGCTGCCAGAGCTCAGAGAC